TTCTGTGTCTCCCTCTCTCTCTGCCCCTTGCCCACTCACACTCTCTCTCTCAAAAATGAATAAACATTACAAAAAAATTTTAAAAGGGAGGGCAACTTTGACATATTCTATAGTAGAGATGAACTTTGAGTACATCAGCTAAGTGAAATGGGCCAGTTACAAAGAAGAATACTGTATGATTCCACTCATATAAGGTACCTATAGTAGTCAAAATCATAGGGACAAAAAGTAAAACAGTGGTTACCAGAAGCCAGAGAAGGGGGGAACATGGAGCTATTGTTTAATGGGTATAGAATTTCAGTTTTGCAAGATGGAAAAAGTTTTGGACATGGATGGTGATGATGCACAATGCTATAAATGTATTTAATATTACTAAATTATACACTAAAAATGGTTAAGATGGTACATTTTATATTATGTATTTTAATGTTTGTTTGTTTGTTTATTTTGAGAGAGAGAGACAGGGCTCAAGTCAGGTAGGACCAGATGGAGAGAGAGACACAGAATCTGAAGCAGGCTCCCAGCTCTGAACTGTCAGCACAGAGCACGACACAGGGCTCGAACTCATGAGCCATGAGATCAAAACCTGAGCCAAAGACCGACTGAGCCACCCAGGTACACCTATATTATCTATTTTAGCACAATAAAAAATACTGAAAGAAAAAAATTATATCATGACTCAAAGAGAAAGATCACGATCTGCTTATGCTGACTAAACAGCTTGATAATAGTCATATTTTCTTATCAATATAGTAGAATTATTTTGTGGGGCACCTGGGTGGCTCAGGTCATGATCTCGCAGTTTGTGAGTTCAAGCCCACCTCGGGCTCTGTACTGACAGCTCAGGGCCTGGAGCCCATTTCTCATCCTCTGTCCCCCTCTCTCTCTCTGCCCCTTCCCCATTTGCACACTCTCTCTCCAAAGAGATAAATAAAATATTTAAAAAAATAAAAATAAATAAAAATAAAAATAAATGGGTGGCTCAGCCGGTTACGCATCTGACCTCGGTTCAGGCCATGATCTCATGGTTCCTGGGTTCAAACCCTACATTGGGCTCTGTGCTAACAGCTCAGAGCCAGCAGCCTGCTTTGGATTCTGTGTTTCCCTTTCTCTCTGCCCATCCTCTGCTTGCGCTCTGTCTCTCTCTCAAAAATAAATAAAACATTAGAAAATAATAATAAAATAAAATAATAAAACTAAAAATAGAAAACAGATAGAAAAACTAAAATTAACACATATGCAAGTAGTTTAAAATTTTTCCAACCATAAAAACTCCCATCAGAGATGCCAATGTAGTTCAAAACATTAACTCACTTTACTTTCCTTCTCATAAAGATACTTTCCTTCTCATAAAGATACTTAACCAACTGCATGGCTCAGTCGGTTAGCGTCCGACTTAGGCTCAGGTCATGATCTCATAGTTCTTGGGTTCTAGCCCCAGGTCGGGCTCTGTGCTGACAGCTCAGAGCCTGGAGCCTGCTTCGGATTCTGTGTCTCCCTCTCTCTCTGCCCCTCCCCACTCATGCTCTGTCTCTGTCTCTCAAAAATAAATAAAAACATTTTAAAAAGTTTTAATAAAATAAAATGATAACAAACCTGAGTTATTGTAGTATATTAGTAAATAATATGTCAACAATTTGACAAAAGTTTTCTTTGGGCAGACTTCTCTTTTCTTTAAAACTAAAATAAATGCTTAAATACACAGTGATCATCCATTTTCCAATGAGAAGGAAGAATAGATTAAATAATCAAAACTGCATTTATGTCCATCATCTCTATGTTTAAGGGCTAATGCTGATAGGCTGAGACAAGGTAGATAAATAAAATGAAAAGCATTTAAATCTACTCCCAAATAAAAACCTTCATAAGAGTTACTCATCTTCAAATGCAAAGGACTAAATGTTTCGAGTGTGACATTTATGTAAAATTTCATCTTGTAAAGAAATGCTAGTATATTCACCATTTAACAATGAGAATGAACTAATTACAACAACATGTAACAAGATAGTTGAACATCACCAACATGTTAAGTGAAGAATGCCAGAAACAAGAGTACGTGTTGTATAATTCCATTTTATAAAGTATCAAACTTTATAAAAAAAATTTTTTAAAGGGGTGGGGAGAGCCTGGGTGGCTCAGTCGGTTGAGCGTCTGACTTCAGCTCAGGTCATGATCTCCCAGCTTGTGAGTTCGAGCCCTGCATCAGGCTCTGTGCTGGCAGCTCAGAGCCCGGAGTCTGCTTCGGATTTTGTGTCCCTCTCTCTCTCTGCTCCTTCCCTGCTCATGCTCTCTCTCTCTCTCTCTCTCAAGAATAAATAAAAAATAAAAAAACTTTTTTTAAAGTATCAAACTTCTGGGGCGCCTGGGTGGCGCAGTCGGTTAAGCATCCGACTTCAGCCAGGTCACGATCTCGCGGTCCGCGAGTTCGAGCCCCACGTTGGGCTCTGGGCTGGTGGCTCGGAGCCTGGAGCCTGTTTCCGATTCTGTGTCTCCCTCTCTCTCTGCCCCTCCCCCGTTCATGCTCTGTCTCTCTCTGTCCCAAAAATAAATAAACACTGAAAAAAAAAAATTTTAAAGTATCAAACTTCTGTGGTGTTAAAAAGACAGTGGTTATGTAGGTTTGGGCAGGGGGGTGATGAAGGGAACTAGAGCAAGGAACAGCTTTTGAGGTACTGATAATATTGTTTATTGATATGGGTGCTGATTACACGCACGTATTCTGTTTAAAGGATTTCCATCAAGCTGTGCACTTACATTCTTTTTCAATGTATATTACACATCAAAAAGTATTTTCAGATAACATGCCTAGTTGAGGTTTATAATTACAGTTTTAATTCAGTTCTACATGTCTAGTCTCATGAATGCCAGTTTTTCAATAATCCACCCTTCAAAATCCCTGGTTATCCCATACCAGTAAGTGGATGTTATTAATAGAATCTATTTAAGTAGGTCTGTTCTTTCTGTAAGAATATATATGTAAAATATGACCATTTTTTTATAAAGATAGAAAAAAATGAGGAAAAAGTACAATGAAAAAAACCTTCATAGAAAGGAGAGAATCTAATCTATCAAAACTCTTACTATCTTTAAAGTATAAATCTCAATCCGCAAAATGCCTTTTCCAATTATTTTAAGGTTACCAAGTCAAACAGATCAAACTTATTCAAGATGATTTATTGGGCAGTAATGAAACTAACCTTCTCAGTTCAATGAACATGGCTTTATTCTACAGCCATATGGAAATTTTGGAATTATTTACTGAACACTTGTGTATTCTCTTTTGCCTACTTAATCTGTCAAGAATTAAGAATTAAGGTAAGTAAAAATGTACTGTAACTTTTTGTTTCCTCTTCATATTTCTATAAACTAATGTTTATATAGCTTGATATGATTATTTAGTGCTTAGGTTATTAGGAGAAGTAAGTTATTATAGATAAAATATGTTACATATATTGCTTAAAAAAAGAGGAGTGCCTGGGTGGCTCAGTCGGTTAAGCTTCCGAATTCAGCTCAGGTCATGATCTCACACAGTTCGTCAGTTCGAGCCCCGTGTCGGGTTCTGTGCTGACAGCTTGGAGCCTGGAGCCTGCTTC